CCCCAAATCAATGATGATGTCAATGACTGCGCCTGCAGCAGGGGGAACCGTCTAACTTTTCAATGATCGATAATCTTGCCAACAATGTTCCCAGGGTACCCAACTCCAAAGTAGTAGAAAAGAGTAGTGCCTGGCCATCTCTGTTCCTTACATATTGGTTGTTAATTAGCATGTGATCACTTGGATTGGATGTTTCTGCTTTTCTTCAGCTACCATCTATATTCATAAGCAATATTATATGGCTGTCACTTCCCATTCTACACATAACACTTTAATAGCCAGTAGCCCTTCCCGAGTACTATGTTAGTTTTTCAAGAGTGCAAAAGGGTCCTACCTATATTATATTTCATATTTTTGGCATTGCTAAGTTGTTCAGGAGCAAGAAGAGGGGCAAGATGTGATGAGGCAGCTGTTCTGACAAAAGCTCTGTGCAGAGGTAGTGGTGCTCTATATTTTGTTCAGGAAACTGCTCTAAATTATATCAATAAAAAAACCTTTTCCATCAGTATACACTGCATCCCTACGAGGCTGGTTTACTGAGACGGCTATACCAGCAAACTAAGGCAGGCCAGGTCCAGGAATGCTTTTTGCTGGTCTCTCTATTGGTATACCTGTCAGCAGAGTGCTCATAGTGTTGCCATGGCCTTGGGCGCACAGACTCCATTCCCTTGTAAACTGATCTTATGGCAAACCCTAGGCCCATGAAGAGATGAGCTGGTGCAATGATCTGTTACATGCACGCAGTCCTCAGGAAAAGAGGATCTTTAAACAGGAAATCTAAAATGAGAAAAGTGCCTTGTTAACTCTTTAGGCCCTGAGGCTTTGGCAATAAAAACATATGGTTGGGATTATTAGCTAAAGCAAAGCAAACAGCTCAATGTGGATGTTGCAATAACTAAGAAATACTTTAACCTGGGTCACAGCATTATAATTTCTCTTTGTGTAATCAAACTTTTGGTTTTTAATGGAAACCATTATATTTCCAGCAACTTCATTTTTTCAGAGCTTAGACTTACAATGCTCGAGTTAAATGTTTCTCAAAAGAAGCAAATTATTTCTAGAGTTTAAAATATAAGATACTTCCTATCTTAAGACACAAGATCTACAATCCTAGTATTCTTTTGAATCTAAAGAGCAATGCAGCACATCTTAAAACAGTCCTGTGGACAGTCACTCTTTTGATGGAGGGATGAATTTAAAAATGTATTTGAATCAAGTCCTAAATATGAAAACAAAACTAAAGTGTACAAAAAGAAAGCAGATGCTTATGTACAATTACATGGACTTCACCCTGGCATGCAAAACAGGGCTTGTTCTATAAGAGTTATACAACCCAGCACTGGTGCAACTCAGTTCTACATTAAGTGTCAGTGTTGGATTTCAATGAGGCAGCAATGACTTGTTTAATTTTACACTGGTGTAGAAAAGGGTTTTTGGATTTGGGGTTTGTTTTTGTTGGTGTTTTTTTGGTTTTGTTTTGTTTTTTTCTTATAATCCAGGGAAAAAAGGATGACTCCCACTCCTTAATAATGCAAAACTAAGATGTCCAAGGAGGATATAGTACTTCATTCAAAGCTAAATAGCATTTTTACAATATCTGGCAGATTCTTTTGTTCTACTGCTTTGTAATGGAAGTCTACATTATTTGTTCATAGAGGTTGCTGCTCTGTTGGCTCTTGATGCAAACCCTTATATCCCTCAGTCAGTGGGGAATGCAAAGCTTGGTCCCTGCCCTCAGGCAAAACATATGTTCCACTGTAACCTGCGTCCAACAAGGGTGTTTGGAACAGAATAATTGTTTTATGTTTATTAATCACCTGCGGGCAGATGGGTGCCAATAATAAAAACGCAGCTCCTCTCTCAGCACTTAACGGGGTATTAGAGGCACAGCCACCACACCCATATTTTGATGTCTGAAACAGTAAGTGTCTCCATTCAGGCCACAGTTAATACTTTGTTTGATATGCAGTGAAGAAAACATTGCACTAGCTCAGCCAATCTGTAAGGATGGCTTCTAAAAAAAACCAAAAAAAACCCAACCCCCAAAAAAACAGGAAACCTGCAAAAACATTCAAGAGCGGTGGTAAAATAAATTAGAGATGCTGCATATTAAGCTAAAAAAAAAAAAATACATTAATGCAACATGAAGGGTGAGATTTCAATCACAGAAAACTCAGAACATTCAAAGATAAAGGTTTCATTACAGTGTTAAATGTGACCTGCCAAAAGACGACAACTGGGATTTCTTCTCTTTGTGATGTGAAAAGTTGGAAATTTTTTTAAAAAGCTGCGTTAAATTCAGTGCAACATTTCAGAAAGTTATAAGCCACTAGATTTGAAATAAAAGCTACTGCAGTCAATAAATGAGATGATAAATTATATACATTCTGTAAGGAATAAAAACTACAAAGCCTGATGAGACTAGAGCTCAACAAAATTCAGATAGCTAAGGATGGGCTAGACAGGAGGGATAATTTCAAGGTTAAGGCACTGGGCTTTCCCTTAGGGGCAGGCAATTATTTTGGGCGGAGGGCCACTTACTGAGGTTTGGCAAGCCATTGGAGGGCTGCATGACAGGCAGCCGGGGCAGATAAATATTAATTTTCTAAAATTTTGAGGGGCCCCGCGGGCTGGATAGAACGGCCTGGCAGGCTGCATCCGGCCCCCGGGCCGCATTTTGCCCACCCCTGCTATACCAGGACCTGGCAGAGGCTTATGTAACTTTGGACAAGTTTCAATCCCCATGCTTTAGTTCTCACTCTGTAAAATAAGAATTATTACTTTTCCCCTGTCCATTTAGATTAGCAACTCTTTGGGGCAGGGCACCATGGTGACATCAAAACATCTACAATGTACCCTTTACAAAAGTCAAGGCAGTTCAACATATAGGCTAAGTACAGACAGTCAAAAAGCCCAAGGCTGAATCAATTCAGTCTTTGCAGGTTAGTCTAAGTTATGTAGATTGAACCGATAAGCAAGTGAACAGACATTTCCTTCTGATTCTAGAAATGCAGCCACATGCCAGCAGTGGCCCAGGCCAGAAGCTGGGGGCGCTAGAGTATGTCCCCTTGCTCTGCTGGAGCAGACAGCTTGGAGCAAAGCTAGCCCACCCACCCTGTGATGGGGGGTTTGCAGGAGAGCTGCAAAGCATCCTGGGATGCTGGGGGACTGAATTAAACTTGAAATCTGGAGGGGATCTGGGACAGAAGTTCAATAAACCGACTTAACTGAAATCAGCTAAGTCTGATACTATGTCCATCCAGGTTTATCTTAAACTGGTTTCAGCCATTTTGAAAAGTGGTTGATATGCACTGAACTTCTGGGTGAAGTACAGACATTTGGGGAGGTTAAACTGAGTTCAGAATGGCTGCCTAATTTAAATTTAGCTCATCCTAGTGCTGACCTTAAAGACCTGGTCTCAGTGACCAGCAATCAGTCTAAACCTGTAACTGTACAGAAGTTCCATGCACACAAGCCAGTCTAAAAACTGCAGAACCCGATTGAAGATAAACCGGAGTCTATGTAGTATCAAACTTATTTGATTTAGGTTGAACCAGTGCATTGAACTTCTATACACTTTCCCTGTGCAGCCCTGGGGCTGGAAAAACCCAGCCACCAGCCCCAAGACTGCTCTTTTCACTGCACCCCGCCCCAGTACTAGGCTATTTTTTGTCTTCCCCTAATGTCCCAAAATGTCTGTACTTAGCCATGCTGCGTTACAGTTTTGAACTAGTTTCCGATCACTTATACTGGCTTGTGTGTAATTTCTGTCCCTAGTCAAAAACCAATCTTCCCCTGTTATAAGAATCAAATATCTGGAGACTAGACCATGAAGGCTGTACTGTAGAAATTATACTCTGTATATGACAAACATGAATTCTGTCTGTTGGAGATTGCATACCACACTTGGAAAATCTGATTTTTTTTTTTTTTTTTTTTTTTTTTATATACTTAGCAAGCAAAAATAATACAAGCAAGAGTAATTTGAACTGAACATTTTAAATGGTTGAAAACTACGTCAGCCCCATATTTAAGTTACTTAGAGGTTTCTGAATGAGTGTGTCTAAAAAATTCATTTCTGGACAGACTAAAACAAAATTCAGCAACAGACTGAAAATTATTTGAGGCAGTTACATGACTGATACCAGGGCGTGCTAGAATGGAGGCATCAACTCATCCTTTGACAGTATAGTGATCGTTCTCATAAAATGTAAGAGATTTTAAGTAGCAGGGAACAGCTAATAAAAGTGCCCTGAAAAGTACAAACAGTAAATTCCCAAATGGGTATGCAATTCATAAACACAATTCAAAGCAAGTATATTAAAATGGATGCATCTTAGCACATGTTCTTCTGGGCATACTCACTTGTGAATTAAGAAAGCACCACATGATTCATACCAAAATAATTCTACATTTATATTCAGGGTGGCTAAGAGCCAATTTTGCAAGCAGAACGCATACAGAAGCCAAATATTATTTTCCAGAAATGGGACTTCTTTGCTGAGCATGAATGCAGTTCTAACAGACGCTTATTGCCTAAACTCCACCCCCCCACCCCTGTGTACATTTTCTGAAAACCTCTTTCATCATCAATGTGGCTGAAACAATGACAAAGTATATTAAGACCTTTTGATAGGTGATCCCTTCATTACCAAATAAAATAAGAAAAGTATTTGGAGATGTTCTAAAGGTGCAGAAAAAGAGTTTAATACAAACATATCATTTCAGCACATGCTCATTGGCTGCCAGGACTGTGAAGGATAGATGAGAGCTACTCACCTGCTGGAACATATGCATGGGAACACTTGTATTAGAAGAACTTGGGGAAGAAATCTGGGTCATAAGAATCAGAAGGAGCTAAGAAAACAGGAAGAGACCCAAACACAAAGAAGGAATCTGCAAAGCGCATGGTACACAATAATGATTCCAAAATCGCCGGCTGCAGCGTGAGGACTTAAGTATTTTAAGAAACAAGAATTAACAGAATAAAAAGATAAGACTGGCTATATAAATGTCAATCTTTATTTGAATTATCCCAGTGCAGTACATGAATTGTGCACTTCAAATGAGTAGAAAAACAAAAGACCTGAAGGAAACTGAAAGACTGCTGAAGAACGATCCCAGGGTTAGGATGTTGCTTTTGGAAGGGGGATGTTATCCATTTCGTGGATGCCATCTTTGTCAATTAAACGAACGCTGAAACAAGGCAGGTTCAGGATAAAGCGTTTCTGGAGCTGTTTAACAAAGAAACAAGGGAAGAGATTTGTTCAAGACTTAAATTAATATAGTTTGTTTATCAAAAGCGAGCAAGACTGATGCATCTCTCAACAGCATTTATTTTATTTATTTTGTCCAAGTTGGTGTCTTGGCTTGGTTTCTCTGATAGTTCCAAACTGCAAAAGTAAAATGTCTTTCATGTTCAGGAATACTTGAGAGCTACAAATCTACCAATCTGTGAAAGATCCTTAAGAAACGAAATAGAAACTGCACTGTTTGAGTAGTCATCTTAAAGAATCACGTGGACTTTGAAGGGAGTGGGCGGGGGAAGGAAGAGGGAGGGAAAGGAATCACAAGGAGCAGCATTTTAGGATTTTTGACTTATATAAACAAACCATTTCTTTTCAGCTCTTGTTTTTTGTTTTGTTTTTTTTTAAATGGAGCACAGGGCTCCCCTAAAATGCCTTTTAAAAAGAAATCTGCAATAGGATGGAAGAGCTGCATAAACTGCTCCTGCATCCAGTGATGCGATATATTAGGCTCGTTAAGAACATAAAACTCTGTCATGCCCAAATTTATCTGGCTATACAGCTTAAAGAATTTGTCTTGAAATAGTACCTAATAAGAGAACAACTCAGATAAATTAGCTTGACTGTGCACCAGGGCTATTTAACAGGTCCCCACTGTACACGCTGCTTGGGATATAAACTTTAGTCAATCGTGCATGATATGATGGCAGTGCAGGCTCCCTCTCCTGCAGTGCCTCTTATTTCAGCATTAATTATCTCTAACAAGATTTTTGGTTCAAATGGAGAACCTTAGTCAGAATTTATTAGAATTGTTTCGTTCACTGAATTAAGATACTGTAGACAAATGTCTTGGGGAGGTCCAACCTCCTCCATTTGTGCCGTGTTTAAGTACGTAATTCTTCCCAACCCTCAGAATTAACATTAGGGAAATCCAGACATTTTTTATGCAAATACAGACACCCCTTTTAGGGTAAGATGATTGCTCTGTGCACTGATGAGCTCATATTAGATGGTCAGCAAGCTATACAAAGAATATTTACTCTTCCTGCCTAGCTTGATAGTAGAATGTCTTTAATTCAATGTAGTATCATTCATCCTATTATTAAAACAAAACTGGACTGAATACTGTATTTTCATTTTTATAAAAATTGTTTCTTTGTTTTGTAGGCAATTTGCTGGGACTGCATTAGAATCGCAAGCATTTGCAACATGGATTTAATTCTTTAGCATTTTGGAGGTACTATGGCAAGTATATATTATCCAGAAGCCAGAGATCAATCACTCAGACAAGATAAAAAGTATCAGCAGGCAGGCCTGTATGGTAATGCAACCATGTTTCTTTCAATGGTGCTCATGGTCATTTTAGTTTATACGCAACGAAAAAGCAAGTCAACTTGTATAAGAGATTATTTTGCAGGTCTTGAAATACATTTAAGGCAAGAGTCCCAGATTTATGGATATTTCCAAAGCATAGTTAGAATGGTGTCTCAGGCTAAGCCAATTAATTTATCTGGGTAACAGTTTCTGGAACACAATAGAAGTTGACTTAACAGTAAATGACAAGATCACTGTGTATATATTTGGCCACTTAGCTATCATGTCAGACCAAGTTTTCAATTGACTAGGTACAAGAGATGCAAGGAGTTAAGCCAGATACTGTGTTTGTCAGAAGTCTGAAAAAAAGTTGGAAGGAGCATCAACTGAGGTATAATGGACATTGCACATGTGAGGAAACTATACAACACTTCCTCTTTCAGGTACTACCCAATCCTAAATTTACCAAATCTCCTTTGAGATGAATGATTGCCATCGCTGACTACAATTAATCAAGATGTCAACCTCCAAAGTAAGTTTTTGTTTGCAGCAGACTCTCCCCTGCCCCACAGCACCACCCAGGTCTCCAGACAAATTATAAGAGTCCTGCTCTAGAATGAGATACGGTGTGAAAAGATACTTGATGCTGAAGCTGCTGATCAAATCCCTAATGCCTAAGGTCAAATGTTTATCCAAGTTAGACTTGGCTATCCATATATGAACTGGGGGTGGGGAGGGTGGCTTGGCTTAAAAAAAAAAAGTGTACCAGAAAAATAAAAACTTACCAGGAGCACAGGACAAATACCCCGACAATACAAATATTTTAGGCAAAACAACATAAAAGGCAGAGTTAAAGGCTGTCTGCATCAATATTATGTTAGAGATGGAAGGACCAGAAGTAAGGAACAGCAATTAAGCCTGAAGTTTACATTCTGGAGGACATGAACCATGCTAAGACAATACAAGTACCCACAAATCCTTTTCCTCAGTAGCCGCTCCACATCTGGCCAGCATGTATTTATTACCCCTTCTGGCGAAGATGGGGAAAAAGTGCGACAGAGGAACAGGAAGAATATCAGCAAACGAAGACAAACAAACATCTCTTTCTTAAGCGCACATGGACCCGAGTCTTTAGTGACTCACCTCCTCTAGACATTTCTTTAAGAGTTCCACTGCCTCCTCACGTGAGATACCTGAAGGAGAAAACACCCACAGATTGCTTTAATTAGAGGCCATCTCTCTCGACTTAAAACTTTATTAAATTTAAACAACTTTTCAGCTGAGCACTGCAAAGCTCTCCTTCCCAGCTCTCAGAAAACACGTTCCATATGTACTGAGGATGCCCTGCACTGAAGCGCTCACGTTGCAACAAGCCATTGAGAATCGATTTGTTACACTGAATGGGAAGCATGACGGAATTTCGCCTCCCATGGCCAGAGACTGGGCTTCGGAGAGGTCCAGCCGTCTCTCTCTCCTCGAGTTTATTACAGTCCTAAATCAGCTCCATCTGTCCGCAGCCGGCTGCAAGTCAGTGAAAGTGGGCGGAGACCAGTGTTAGTGCTACATTCCCTGCTGGGTATTAGTTTTAATAATGGGAAAGGCACGTGTGCGATGCCCCTGCTGTTCTCACACATTAGGATAAAAACCAGAACTCAATGGGGATGGCAAGCGATGACAATTTATCGCAGTTTGTTTTTTTGCCTGTCGGAGGGAGTCAGGAAGGAGAAGAAAGGCTGTGTCATTTGCAGGAGACAAATAACGAAAAAGCTAGATTTGTGGTTAAGGGACAGCCTACTGGTTTCAAAGGTTTTTGTTTCTGTCCTGCACCCGCTGGTCAGGTGCAATAACTCCATTCAGAAGGAAACTGTCAGATTCCTGCT